CCCCCCCCGCCCCACCTTATCTTCCCAACTCACCTCTTAGATGGGGCTGGAAATGTCACTGGCAATGCTGTAGTGTGGTTGGTTCCCTGTAGCCAGGCAATACTCAGGAGAGGTAACCAGCGCAAGCCAGTAGCCCTGCAAGAGGGCACAATAACACGAGGGCCGTGGATGGTTGCCCTTTCTCCTGCCGTCTTGGCTATAGAAGAGCCTATTAGAGCAACGCAATGTGATACTGTGACTCTGTACAAACCGGCCTACGTGAAGGCGGAAGTGGGTTCAAGTAGCCCATGATAGGATGCCCAGAAACCGAGGCCGAAGTTGGCCGGTTTTTCCCTCTCGCTCATCCCGACCTGCTGTTATGCCTACCCTCCCCCGGACACATATAAAGGAGGCAGATATCAACCAAGCGGTATCGAGTATATCACTTCCTTTCGAGAACATTCTTGCCAGGCACCCACCCGTCATCCCAACACGCAGGACTACCCTATTCCCGTCAAACGTGCAGCTTCAATCTTCAAGATGCTCTCCAACACTCTTCGTGCGCTTACATTGGCCACTTTGGTCTCTTTGCCACAATATGCCACTGCAGAGGTTCACGGCGCATCAGCGGTAGGCACAATGGGCCCCGTCGCATTCCTCTGGCCGGAAGACCGCCCATGGTCAGCAGACTTTGACAATATTGCGCCATGTGGCAGCAATGCACCCATCACCAACCGAACATCGTTCCCTATGAGTAAGTTTAACACATGGCTGGCGTTCACAAGTCGTTATATTTTGCAACGAACGATGCTAATGCTTCACTTTTAACAGGCAAGGGTGCCGTTTCACTGTCGATCAGCGAGGAGGCGTTCCACGTTGCTTTCCGCATGGCCTACGGCAACAGTGTGTACTCTTGTTGGGGCAGTGCGCCTTCAGTACTAACTCTCATCCATAGACCCAACTCTCCAAACCGAATTCACCACCGAAGTTGTACACGACGTCGTCTCGGTCGCCCCTGGTCATCAATGCTACCCAGTTCCCAAGACCCCCAGTGAAGTTACCTCGGGCACAAATGCAACCATTCAACTAGAGTATTATTCCAAGTACGAAGATGGCCCCACCGAGAAATTCTATGCCTGTGCAGATGTTGTGAGTATCACTCGTAATCTAGTAGTTGATGAGGATTAGCGTTAACATGTCTTATAGACACTCATCGATGCGGAGGTCTTCACGACCACCATCCCTTGCTTCAATGTTACCTCTGCTGAATTCGAGCTCCCTGCTTCAAGCACTCCATCTTCCGTAGCTGCCCCCTCAGCTGCAACCGGCACGACCACCACTACCGAATCTAAGGGAAGCGGCATCTCGACAGGTGCCCTCGCTGGAGCCATTGTGGGTGCCACTCTTGGAGGTCTCCTGATCTTTAGCTTGGTTGGGTTCTTCATCTGGCGTAAGGTTTCAGCCAACAAGAAGCAGCAGAGTGAACAATTCCCAGCCATGGGACAAAAGAATGTCGCTCCTTCTCTTGCCTCTGCTGATACCCGGGTTTAAAGTGGATAGCCCCAGTCGTTGTGGGGAAGCTTGCTGAGAGGGAAATGAAGAGATGGAATTTAGTAAAAAGGTGAAGGCTGGAAGGAGACACAAGGCCTGCCAATAGCGAAGAAACCGTCTCGATTTTAGGACGAGTAATAACCTGTACGGAGCTATATGATTTATGATACGCTTTCCGCTACTCACCACTCTCACTTCTTTATATTCAAACAACTTGAACCCTATTCCCTATCCATAAATGTAGTCCGGCTCTGTTAAAAAGGGGCTCAGGGGAGGCACACAAGTAGCGCACTATGCCTATTAAAGCATAGTTCGCGTAACCACTTCCAAAGTCCAAACATCCCTTCTCATCAAACAATCCCTTGACATGCACCCGTACGTCATTCGTCGATTAACCCGCTCGTTTTGTCCATTACCATTGCCATTCTCGCACATAATGCAAAAAAAATCAAAAATATCAATTCCGCACATAGATAGGACGGCGAATGAACCACGTGGTAATGTGAGGAATGATTCATGCTTTTGTTTTCCAGCAGTTCGCTATTTTCCTAAATGAATAGATCAGAGGCGAAGCCTCAAATGCTGATTCGGATTGTGCATGTAGAGGCTCCACAAAGTTATACTAGATGATGTCGAACAAGTCAACGAGGATATAAGATTGTTTCAACTGGTACTGGTTGAGTCTGGGAATTTGATAAAGGTGTGTACTTCGCCAACTTATAATTCGAATGCTCCATAACTGGAGCCATACATAATTCCTAGTTGGAATTATAAGTACTCTATACCATTCCTTGTTGTGTTTTTTGGAATTATTCCTGCCACTGTTTCGCATTTCTTGCTAGATATAAGCGCTTGCCAACCAACAAATTTTATATCATATTATCCCCTAATCCTCGTCCCCTACTCTTATCCAGATCCATTATTTTAACTTCCTAACCTTCCCACCACGCCCAGTTCCTCCCTGGACAATGGCTAGACGTATACGTCCCCTCGACCCCCAAAGCGGGAGGCTTCACCATAACCTCTGCGCCCTCAGAGCTATTACCCCAATCGCCCTCTGCAAATCCAACCAGCAATCCAGACCAACAGAAGCCTCACATTCAACTAGCTATCCAGCGCTCACCCCTCAATCCACCAGCAGCCTGGCTCTGGCAGCCCGCCTCATCAATCCTAGGAAAAGAACTGCAAGTCCGAGTCGGAGGATCGTTCACATGGCCGCCTCCTCTATTTCCCAGTCTGATAATGTCAACCTCCGCCGCTAGTCAACAAGAGCCGAGGCAGTCAAAACCAGGGGAGAAAGCGGCACCAAAACGAGTTCTGTTTATCGCAGGAGGCGTAGGCATTAACCCCCTAATAAGTATGTTGCGCCAAATTGCGCTCGACTTCCAAACCCGAAGACACAGTCCAGAATTCGACATCAAATTCCTCTATACGACTCGTGATCCTGGTGTTGAAAATAGGGGGCGGATTTTATTCCTTGAGCCGATTAGCAAGGCGATTGTGGGGTTAGGTGAACGAGCAGAGTTGGAGCTATTCTTGACGGGCAACGAACAGGAGAATGGAGAGGATTATGTGAGGGTCAGCGATATGAATATCCCTTTCAAGCGGAGGAGGATTAATCCAGGAGATTTACTTGAGGCTTTGGGGCCGGTGGAGGAGAGAGAGGATGTGGTGTGCTACGTTTGTGGGGTGCCGGGGATGACAGATGCATTTGTGGAAATACTCAAGAAAGCGGAGGGAATGGATGAGAGAAATATTTTGTTTGAGAAGTGGTGGTAATGTTTGGCTGCCGCACGCCAGCTATTTCAGCTTCCGAAGTCGTAAGAGCACCGATCTAGAAAGTGTATTAGAAGTATATAGAGTCGTCCCGGCTATCCTGATTCTAAGACTATGCTTGGGCTAACAAATTAAGCTTATTCTCTTCATCTTCCAACACATCTTCAACCTTTCTAAGAGTATTTTCGGGTGAAGGTAGCAGTTGCTCAGCCAATCCCTCTATCCCACAGAGCAGACTATCCGGGCTGCATTCCCTATAGGAAGAATGATCCCAGGCCTTGCCAGCTTGGTTCTTGCTCTCTAGTATACCAAACCCTTCACTCCATGACCAGTAATACGCATGTGGGAATATAACCATGAATTCCTTCTCGCGCATGGTGACTTCGAAGAATATGATTTCCCATATTTTCAGAATCTTCGGCGGGATCCATATCCCAAGATGCCGAGCGAATTGGGAGCAGTGCTGGGTCGGTATCTGTGTTCGAAATTCTTGGACCAATCGATCCTCAAAAGCTGCTTTTTGTGAAGGAGGGACAATGATCCAATGTTGAGGGTCGCCGCGATGGTGGTATATCACGGTATTGAGACATAGAGTCGAAGTTCGGACCGTTACAGGAATGCCTGCTGTGACGACGGTGATGGATCCACGATGAAGTTCACCGTACCCATTTTCGACGCATTTGGTGCGAAATGCTCGGTCCTGCGACATGAAATAAGCTGTGGTGATGCCAAGTATATCACGTAACCCTCTTGTACTCGCTGTTCAAGTCAGCGACCGTGATTGCGCATAAGATTAATTTGTTACCGTCAATATCGCCAAACTGGGCGCCTACGGGTTCACCACTTTCCAGCTTGTCCATTAAAACCTGGAGGCTATCCATGTTTTTTGCATTACGTTCTGTCTCCCGAACCGTCTCCATAAAAGCTGGATTCGATTTCGTTATCGTGATGCTGTAAATATTCGCTGGTGATAGCTTCTGCGCGACATAGGTACCCATATTGAACCCTAGTTCGACAGAAGAAGATGCTCCAATCGTTGTCCGAAGACTAGGTCTAATTAAACACAATCCTAATGCCTACATAGCAAGAGGCTCACAAATAGGCCGGTATCTTCAGGACTAGGAGGCAACCATATTTTTGAGCGAACCCATTCTTGATCCGCGCGTCAATGAATTCGTCTCGGACGGTGGGTCCTCTCAGTTCGAGCACCGATACTGATGGCACAATAATTTCGTCGGAATTAAGACCTGTGCCATGTTCTGATATCGAGCATTGTACTCGGCGAGAACTAAGCATGCTTTGAGGCGGCGAGAATGCTGTGAAAGGCAGTGTGCTTCTATCTAACAATGGGTCTTTCTAAAACTATGATCAGCGGTATCCAGGCCCTTCCACAGCGCTAGGCGCTCACCTGTTAAGGGGTGTATTATAGACCCTATCACGGATATTTTCTAGCATAACGTTGTTTACAATGAATAAGGGGGGTAATTTGTGCTGCAAAAGCTGTGAAATTGGTAAGTGATTGTAAAAGAGAGCGACCTTCTTGCCCAAAGTTAAATAGAAGAGCAAATTAAGAAGGCGCAACAGACACACTAGAGTCCAGGGGACTTTCACTACTCATATCAATTGCCTGATTCTTCACAGGATCGAGTGGAGGGCTATACTTGATAGAGCCAAGGCTCATTAGGTATTCAGGAACCGGATGCAAAAGCCTTAGTAAAGTGGGCCAAGCAATGCAAGTCATTACATCGTGCCCGGGCTCTGGTCCAGGCATAGCCCAATACCTAGTGTCCAGGAACATAAATAGAAAGCACCCGGTTGAAGCGCTAACGTCACCTTGGTGGTTAGTAACAGGCAGTAGAGGCATACAAAGATACCACCGGTATTGTGCAAGCGATATCGAATAGCAAGGCGAGCTGCCAATTCGGCGCCACACTAATGGACTACATGATGACTATCCAATACCAACCTAACTTTTTTATAATGGACCTTCAAACTTAGCACAGAAAATGGCCTGTTGTTATTTTAGAATCGCTATGGCATACTACGTTCATACAGGTTCCGACCAGTTTACCAGATCCGACACCTGCCCCGCAGAGGGATGCGTATATGAAATTTTCAGGCGCAAACGCAACGGAGGCTGATTCAAAATTAGCAGGTAGTGTAACAAATGTCGAAGGACCACTTACCCCTTTACTTCCTGTAATTCTCATGGACTGGGTCGCTTCATCGCCTGGCCCCAATTCCGAACTTGACATCGCGTTTAATTGAAGTTTCTGGGTCTTCGGGACAGCCGCTTGAAGAGCAACGGCGGATAAGGACTGATGTATTGACGTATTCTGAAATCGTGCCAATACTTGTATCATACCTTCAGCATTTCGTTGTAACTGAAGGGCAATGTTGAGATCATTTTGGCCGTAACAGGAGTGAGTAGGAATTGATGGTGCTGCTGATGGGGGTGGTGGTGACGACATCCCAGAGAAGAGGTCGTTTGAAGGAGTAGCTGCTTGTGGCTGAGATTGTGACGCGCTAGAACTATCAAAGAGATCCATAATCGAACTCATGTTGGACTGCTGTGGGGTAGGAGATGTGGCTGTTGGTGATGGGCTACCGCCAAGAATATCAGCGAGCAGGTCTGCGTTGTTCGATGAACCATTGGCACCAAGATCCGTTGATGGGACACTGCCATCGCCCATCAAATCAAATAACAGGTCTTCTTCTGCTGGTTTCGCACTCTTTGACTTTCGCTTGGTTGCCTTGGTGGATTTCTTCGCGGCTTCACCCAACACCCTCGACTCCTCCTTAATCTGGGGAGGGGGCATCTTCTCCAAAACACCCCTCCGGATCGCGTCATAACCGAAAAGATTCCCATATTCTACCGCACGCTGTTGTACTTCAACATCCAGACTAGCCGAATGGCTTTGCAGTATTCGTCGGATTCTATCAATCTGGGCTGGATCCGAAAAGCGTGTTGTGAGTTTCATTAGCGATGTGATGATGTATTCGGTCGCGATTTGTGTAGCATAACTGCTATTTAGGATCGAAGAGAATAGATCTACCACCTCGCTCTCCTTCACTTCTTGCACCAACTCTTCTTCTTCATATTGGCCACCTCGAAGGAGAGCATCGCCATATTCACCAATACACCATGCGCCGGCAAGTGTCAGACTCTCCTGGGTAATATCCTTCTTCAAGCTGGCATATAACTTTTGCACAGCATATGTTTGCAGTTCTGGCGTTGTAGCAATAAGTCTAATAAACGACGACAGGATCTGCTCCTTAACATAGTTCCCAGCAAGTGATAGCACTCTGAGCATGGTATCAATGTGCCATCGCTTGTTCGGCGAAAACCTATCAGCAGCGACGCCAATCTGACTGGTCATTATTGGCTTGAATTCGTTGTCTGCAACTTCCAGGAAGGCCAGCAGCTCCCTGATCAGTAATCTGACATTACTCTCGTTGATCAGTGTGAAACTCAGATCGAGCGCGCGCCTCCGGATGCTAATATCTGGATCACGCAAACATTCGAGGATGGTATTCCGATGTCTTTGGACAGCGTTTGGCTCGACAGCGACAACTTTGATGAGCGTATTCAGTGCCACATAGCGAATATTGTTATCCCTATTGGAGAGAAACTTGCCAAGGATATTAACCCCAAGCACTCTCAGCCCTGAATCAGCTTCGATGTCAAGGATGGTTAGGACCGCTTCGTATAGAATCGAGTTGCCAACATTCTTCGAGGAATCAGTGTTTGTTGCAACTTGGGCTAGAATGTCGTTGAATTGTTCACTCGTCTGCGCATCACCCCGTCCGAGTACTCTTAATAACTGTAAGATCTTCACTTGAAGGAATGGATCTGTGATGCCAGTGACATCGTGCTCTGGCGCATATCCTGAGCTCGCCAGCGCTTTTAATGTGCGCACAAGGCTTGGAATGAACGGTCTGAATTTCTCCACGACCCCTTCCTCTCCCCCTTCGGCCTCATCGGCCTCGCAAAGGCTCGTCACCAAGGTGAGGCCGCAGAGTAGGACGCCGTGGTTACGGTCGGACAGAAGCGCTGCTGCCTTTTCGAGGAAATGCTCCTGAAGATCGGGCACTTTCCTGCATATCCGCATACCACAGAGGGCAGCTTTTCGTCGGATATATGGGTTCGCAGTAGAGAGGAGGGTTTCGATTTCAGGGAATAGATCTCGAGACATTTCAACTGAAGCAATGTTTCCTAGCGTGCATAGAGCAAGTCCGACGATATATTGGTTGGAATGATTGAGATCGCTACCGGACCGAAAATGTTAGCCAAAGCCAACGGGTATCTTGCAATAATCCACACTTACTTTTTGAGCGAGTTTGTGACCAAAGTCAGCACCTCCTGGTTCTCGTCTAGCAATAACATCGTGCCCAAGTATCCTAACCGTTTATCTGCGAACCGTGGCGATGCAAGAAGCTTGAGACATTCGATCTGGCCAAAATGGGTCCGCTCCCCGAGAGTGAAAAGGTATAGTAGCTTTGCGACATTATTCCGCCTAGGCAGGCTCGTCAACTTGAGTCCGAAGGGTGTTAAGCAGCGCGGCTTCCGGCCTCCTACCTGACGTTTGAGTCCCCGCTCTCCTCTCTAAAGCTTGCTCGTATGGCGGCACTTTCCTTTTGCACCACAGCGCGCTCATCGGCGATTGTCTTGGACGCACGCACATTGCGGATGAATTGCTTCACTTCAAACCGTCAGCTGGGGGGAAACTTATCACACAAAGTTTGAATTAGGAGGGTTTACAAGAACTCATCCTAGCTGGGTGTCGGGCCCCTCACTGGGCCAACCGGGAAAATGCCGACCAGCTTCAGGCAAGGCAATTGCGATATTGCGGAAAAGAGCACGGTGTGTTGGTAGGATAACGGGCTGGTATCGTGGGAAGGGTACTTTCAAGCATACGCGGTAGGCAATGAGACATTCGGGGGTTCCGTTGTCGATATTGATGGACGACTTTCGCTTGGGGTTCCAAAGTCCGAGTACGTACAAATACGAGTACGAGTGGGTTACTTACTCCACTCGATGTGGATCAGTGGATTTGCAGCCTCAGGCCACAAGAGTATTATTACTCAGCAGTAAAAAATAACATGCCTTAGGCCGCAATCTAAATATAGGAAGCATCGTGTTTAGGTAAGGTATACTCCGTACATTACCTAGGTACAGCAGTTAATGCCTCATCTGTTGTTTGTTGATACTGCCGAGGCATAAGGCACTAACACCCGAAGAGGGCAAGACGTTGACGCTACAGCCACTTCCTTCAGGGGTCGCCTTAGCCAATAATGGACGCCCCCGAATGCGAGGCTGTGGCTGATGATGATGACGCCGGACGACGCGGCGACAATCATGGACGGACAGAGTCAAGACTCCGGACGGACAAAGAGAGGCTCCTGCAGCTTCTGACTGCTGACATACCGGTCCTTCGCTCTTCGTATTTTGTCTACGTCAAGCTCACTCCTCCTTGTTAGTTATATTACCTCGGTATCTACTACGTGCACAGTCAGAGCACGTTAGGCATCTCCCTAATGATAGGAAAATCCAATGTAGCCCCCAGAAGGTCCAGATAATCAAACCTTTAAAAGACCTCGAAAAAGAGTTCTTAATCCCATCACTCCTCCAAAAGCTTCCCGAGCGGCATTTTGGCTGTCCATTACCGGTTGAGATCCCACTCTCGCGATGTCTACCTCCGCAGAGATTTTAGTCAATGGGAACGGAAAGGCCGGCCATGGCCATATCCTTCGTCCTCGCGCCGTCAAACCTCCCAACCCAGCTGTTCTACGGACCCAGAGCGAAGAAGGCCTGCTAGTTGTGAGCGAGGATGGGAATGGCAATATATCGGGGCAGACGAGGTATTTCGTTCTTTGCATCTATATCTATACACATATGTTGAACATCACTAATAACGCCTTTCCAGTGGCCGTTCCACTCCAGTTCCAGCAGATGCGCCTCCATCCGCCCACCACATATCTTCTGCGCGTAAGCATATCAGAGCTGAGAATCGCCGTCGATTATTTCCGACCATCGAATATGCCTCGAGGGTATCGCACTTAGATCCCATGAGCGATTACCGGGACTTTCAGGGATTCTACATCTTGTTTTGGATTGCCCTGACAATTATGGCCATAACGACTATGCTGCGGAATATCAAGGATACTGGCTATCCCATGCGCGTGGAGATCTGGCACTTATTTGCGATCAAGGTTTGGGAGCTTGCTGTGGCAGATTTCCTGATGGTAGCCACCACCTCCATTAGCTTGCCCCTACATCGACTCTTCAGAAGTTCGATTGGGGAAAAACTAGGTCTCCGGTGGGCAGGGGGCGGAATGGCCATTCAGAGCATTTACCAAACCGTCTGGCTCGCGTTTTGGGTTGCGTACGTTTTTTCCGGCCCCGGGTTGCTTTCTATTGCTAAGCCCTTTTTAGAGTTCCTTTCCGTCGTGATTGGACTTGGACTGCCCAAGTCTTTTTAACCCTCCATACTCTCACTCTACTCATGAAGATGCACTCTTACGCGTTCTATAACGGTCACCTTAGCGAGACAGAACGAAGATTGCGGGCCCTTGATGACCCGTCGACAGGAGAGTCGAAGGAGCCAGCATATCAATATCCGAGTGCTGGGCAACCATTGGTATCAACCGAGCAAGAGGACACCGCCAAAGAAAGGCTAGATGTATCAGAGCTACAGGAAGACCTGGCCCTTGAGCTTATATCCCCCATGGGGAACATCACATACCCGAAAAACCTGACCTGGTCAAATTATGTGGATTACTTATGTTGCCCTACGCTTTGCTACGAGCTAGAGTATCCGCGCACAAGTGGCATTGTTTGGTCCCAACTGGGTTACAAAATTCTGGCTGTATTTGGCGTCATCTTCCTCCTGACGATCACCTCCGAAGAATTCATAGTGCCAGTGCTAGCCGAGGCGGCTACACGTCTCGAGATGGTCGACTCGTTTTCCGAGACGGCACTTATCTTGGCGGAATCCATATCCATGCTCCTCTTCCCTTTTATGGTCATCTTCCTTCTAGTTTTCCTTGTCATCTTCGAGTATGTTCTTGGTGCTTTTGCCGAGATAACACGTAAGCCCCCTTACCTCTCGATTATTTGGGAGAACTGCTGACCCCATTTCAAGGCTTCGCAGATCGGAGGTTCTACTCAGATTGGTGGAATAGCACGGATTGGCTTGAATTCTCCCGTGAATGGAACATTCCTGTACACCACTTTTTCCGCAGACATGTCTACAGCGCCTCAAGGCCACATATTGGTCGTCCCATGGCAACGCTCATCACGTTCCTCATCTCCGCAATTGGCCACGAAATAGTGATGGCGTGCATCACGAAGAAGATCCGAGGATACGGATTCCTTGCTCAGATGAGCCAGCTGCCCATCGTCATGTTGCAGCGCACGAAATGGGTCAAGGGGAAGAAGGTATTGAACAACGTGTGTTTTTGGTGCTCGATGATTCTGGGATTGAGCATGATGTGTTCGTTGTATGTTCTTTGTTGATATATCGGCTAGATGTGGTGGAGTCTGGTCGTGTTGTTTACATACCTGTGTGTCGTTCCCATATACCCAATATAAATCGCAATCCTTTTTATCCTCTGTAAATTATATCTCTACTTTACGAATCAAATGATTATTTAACGTAAACGTCAATCTCAATAGACGCCGTAGCAATTGCCCATAAATCCCTTATTAGTAAAAGTAACCCAACACCTAAATATATAAAGCAACAGCTGCCGGCCAGTTCTTCCACGACACAGCTAATATCCAAACAAGGGAATATAGCGCGACGAAGGCTAAGACCATTCTTTTCAAATTGCGTCTGTCCTTTTACTGAGACCGGCCTAATCCGCTCTTGTGTTGAATAGAACTGCGGTCATCTACTGCTGCTGCTGCTGCTGTTTTCCCATCGAGGGGTACTACTAGGAGATTAGAAGCTGCATGGGCATCGGATTTAAAACCAGCAAGGGCACAGATACAACATAACACAACAATCAAAGAGCAATAGTGAGACATCATGGATCTGTCATTTGGAACACCTAACTACTGCACTACCACAGTTACCGTCACAAGCGTCAAACCCATCTACTTCGCAACATGACCATTTCCAACAATGGGACTTTTAGGGTCACCAACACTACCAGGACCGCTGCCACTGCCGCTACTTCCATTCCTTTCCTTATCTGCATCATACCAGACGGCTTTTCCGATTTGCGGAGGATACGAGGGACCAGGAGCATCACCATCGCTCTGCGTGAAGCCGGACAAGTTACTCAGCATGCTACTACTTCTCCCTCGAGTCCTATAGCCTTGCGGCTGTGTAGGGAGCTGAGTAGAATAGATACTAGGAACATATCCTCCAGTGGTGGCTGGCATAGCCGGATTCCAAGGATATGCGGCGCTGGCAAGGCCCTCAGGAATCACATCAGGACCGAAAGCAGAGCTCGCATGGAGATTCGGCACACTGGTTGTGGGGCTTGCGGCTGCGTATATCTCGGCCTGCTGCATAGTATCGATATTCCTATACATAACTTGAAGAGCCGCAGTTGTTTCCAGTACTTGGGCATTCAAAACAGCAAGACGGTCGTTGTATATTATATCAATCTTAGCCCTTTCTGTATCCTTCGCCTGTCTCTCGCGTTCTTTCCTCTGAACCTCGTCCAAGCCTTTAGCATTTGCGTCTGTAATACGCTCATGCTCCCCGTTGAGTTTGGCAATTCGGGATTGCATACGTTCACGCTTCTGCTGGAGGGTGGAGATTTCATTATTCAGGGTGGAGATATCGCGTTCGGCGGCTTGCTTGGTGTTGTTGAATTCGGATCGGGATTGCTTGTGCTGTTCTTTTTGGGTTTGGAATTCGGATTTTGAGGATGCATAGAGCGATGCATCGTCCTTGGGAACAGTCTCGAGCGACTTGATTTCCTCCGCAAGAGAAATAAGGGCGTCTTCAGCCTGTTTTGTATGAAGATGGTTCTGCTGGATCTTCTGTCTGACGCGGTCATCGTTGCCACCAGAAGAAGCAATACTATTAGCGAGCTTGTCGATTTCCTTTCGAATGGAATGTAGCTTCGCTCGTTGATCTTTGCGTTCCCGTTTCTGGCGGTGCCGTTCTTCCGTGAGCTTCACTTCTGATGAGGCAATAGAGGTTTTCAGTGTTGTAGTTGGAGAACCGGGTCGACCGCTGACCTGAGGGTTTGGAGACAGCCCAACTGCTGTATCCGCGGTAGGAGCCTGAAGCGTTCGAACATTGGTAGAGAAAATTACGGTATGATCGGCGGTGCTAACAAACTCGCATTCGTAGTTGGACGCAGGCGCAAGGCCGAAAACCTCCCCACTCCATCTAGAATCCTGCCTTGCCGGGCGCTCGGGGTCAATAGCCGCATTGATGCGGGTAGGCTGCCAAATTGTCTGATTAACACGGACATAAAAAGGTTTTGACTTGTCAACCCCAGATGAATCCACATTCTTCTCCTCACAACTCTCAGACGGGGTATAGTTGGGAAAGTAACTCGTGCTAAACAACACCTCATCAGTTCCAACATATGTTATCCATATTCGATCTGCTTCGGTATTGAATGGCGCATTTCCGAGGTTGTTGATGTCTGTTGCGTTTGTGCCGGCAGACTCGGCTGCAGTATGCGAAGTTTCGTATTCCTTTACCACCACGATCTTCGTGCTAGCTAGGGCAGCCCACAGAGGCTGTCGTATACGGACCTGGGCACTCTGCTTCTTCTTCTTCTTTGAACTAACGGTGTTGGTAACGGGCAGGGGTGTTGTGGGATCGTTGTCTTGACTTTGCGAGGCGGGAACTGAGAAATCGTTGCCGGGATCTGCCAGTGCTTTCCCTGCTTCTGGGTCGTTGATAGAAGTTGACGTATCCCGTTTTTCTCTCAAGTTCCTCCTAACATACCAATCTCGAACATAACGTACAAGCCCTTGGGCAAGAATGTGTATAGCAAGAATGCTTCGAATCCAACCATGCGCTCCCTTCTTATTGACACTGTGAGCGGTCTGTTCTAGCGGGTCATCGGGATCTGGTGATCCCAAGATTCGGTTTGATGAGGAAAGCAGAGCACGGAGACCTGATTGCTTCATGTCGCCATTGCGAGTAAAATGTGACATGCCCACAATGGAAAAGCAAATAAAAATATTCTTTAGGCCAGCATCCCTACCATTGGTTCCGCCACCTAGGGTAAACGCAATCACGGTTTGGGCTAGGTCCAGTGCAATATCCTGAGCGGGGTTCCACAAAAACAGCCATATCATCAAGACAAACAAATCCACGACCAAGATTGTTGCAACAGATGGTGTCCCCATTGTCCCTTCAAATATGTCCGTGAAGCTCAATCCCGTGGCCGTCGAGCTCGAGGGTGGGACAAAGGTTAAGGTTGCAAAGAGGAGATGAATGAGCGAGAGGAAGGTCGGCGGAAGTTGGAGTAGGACAATGAGGATGGCAATCGTATCGTACAGCGGACAGGACCGCAAGACGGTGAGGGCAAGATTGAGAGGACCGACGTCACGGTGCACGGCGGGGTTCTTTGCCGCGTTGACATCGATACGGCGGTGATATTCATTGGATATGCCGGGGACATTGTGGTAGGATTCGGACGAGGAGGACTCCGAGTACGCGCCAGCGGAGGGCCGCCTCACGTTTCCGTTTCCGTTGGACATCTTGGGATCTGCAGCGGAATGAGCATCTGCTGGGTGTGGTTGTGTTTGCCTAGCATGTCCGTTTGTCTGTGGATATGGAGATGAAGCGTTCGAAGGCAGAGATGGGAGTGGTGGCGTGGGCGTTGGAGACTTTGAATTGTTCTCTGGTTGTTTCGCATGCCCGTTGAGATGGCCATTACTCTTCTGCCTCTGCACCCTCTTTCCGGGCCCTACAAGTCCATTCTCATGCCTGGTATCGCGTTGGTTTGCAACACCCTGCTGACGCTTTGCTGTGGCCTGGCCACGAGGCATACGCTTTTGCTGACCCAGAGCGACTTCCGAGTCAGCGAGAGGGAGCTGGAGCTGGGCTGAACCTCAGCCTGAACAATCCGCAGCTCTGCTCCGTTGATGCCTCCTGGGGGAAGTCTATAGCCAGTGATGACCGAGTCGAGAGCAGGACGAAGCGTGTCTTTGTGGATTCCTCATCCGAAGGCGACGGAGTCCAGGTGGTGGATTAAGAATAACGGGTGATGTTGGTGGTGGTGGTGGTGGTGGATGTGGGTGTGGTTATGGTGATGTTCGTGAGTTTTGGCGGTGGTGGTGGTTTGGCGAAAATCCGGCAGCTACGGGAAACTGGCGACGCAAATCCTAAATTTGGGGCTGATGGGCTACAAGTACTTAGTGCGCGGTCCGCTCTTCCCGGCGCCTTCGCCGTCTTTTCTTTTACAACCACAACCGCGATCACAACCACACAAGATTGGCCGATCACTATTGCGCAGAGCAGGCCAGACCAGATTCTTGAACTTCGCAATAGCACTCAACTATCAGATCAGGCCTTTTGCCCTCGATATCGATGCAGCCAGCAGTGCACAGGAGCTCTACGATTTACATGGATTCCCGCCAGGCCCGGTGCTAGCTAAGCCACCCACGAGAGAAGAAGAAGCCTTTCCTTGGGGACCAAGACAAAGAAGAAAAAATAGCTGAGATACAGATTTCTACCCAGGCCAAGCCAGCTCAATGATGCCCAGCGAACACGCCGTGAGAAGGAAGCAAGAAGCCTCATGGAGTGGAGTCACCGCAGAACTTCCAGCAGCCACCCGCTGCTCAATGTTCCGAATCCGAGGCTTGCAGGGGCAGAGACACGGTGGTCGGGCACAGAATCTAATATATCCCAGATATGAGCAGAGACTCCGTTCTTCGTGCTCTGCTCTGCTCATACAAGCCTCAATTGATTATTCCCGGCCCTGTTTTGGCTCAACGCGCAGAGATAGATAGCCTTTTGGTCCCCAGGACGACATCCCACTCCCATCCGCCCACGAAGCAATCCTCCTTGACTTGGATTCCTCACCGGTGCCGGGCTCATGCCGAGCCCTCTAGTTCAGTCAAAACAATCGACATATTCCGTAAGCAGCTGAAGAGCAACAAACCTCGGGCCACGGTTGTCCATTTCTGGTATGGTAGGTTAGAAGCCCTACCTTTGTGAACCGTAATAAGGATGCAGAATCGTCGATCATTGTATAATTCCTTGCCCGATAAGCCTTGGCGAGGGGTAGAAAGCTGCAGCTCTGGGCCTATTTTGCAGTCTTTCTTGCAGATGAACCGGCTTTCCTGCACAAACCTGGACACAATTCAGTGCTTCGCGCAAACTAATGTACACACCTCCTTCTACCACAAAGTGGATTGATTGCACAATGATGCGGAGATGGTCCCTGTCACTGGAGGATATATATCTTATCCCCGCCACTCACGTTGTGTGCTGTGCCGGCACTTGGACTTAGCAAACTGATTCCCGGCGAATGGAAGAAATAAGGCGTGCGTGGGCAGCGATGTCAATGGACAGTTCTTCTCCAGGCGATGGCCCTTGATTACTAGCTCGACTGGTCACGCAGCTACGATGATATACTGGCAGCCATGGGTCTTGTTTTAACAGCTGATTGTTGATCCTGGGAGCCCAAAACATCATAGCAAAACGATGCCACCTATATTCCTCTTCTCCGACGGAGCCGACGAGGTCTTGGGCCGCGGTCACTTGATTTCGAGATTTGTTTTATGGCAGAGGGGATCGTGGCTCGGTCCGCACGCCAAACCGATGAAGTATTCGAAATTTGGTGCTGCTGAATCGTCTCACCGCTTGGATGGACATCCATCACCAAACTGAGCCATTCAAAGCTAGAGGCCGTAGCGTAGCAGAACACTGTTGAATAATCGCGTATTATCATTTGTCCAACACATCTGATCGACGCAGGCAACGCCCCAATCTGATTTGGCGTCTGCATATGCATGACTAGCTACGAGCTTAGGATGTCGATATGGCAAGGATGCTGGATAAATGTTTCACATTCCGACAAATGGCTCTTCTAATTATTAATTATTAAGTAGGGTTGCACAGTGCACATTTGTACGATACTGTACGCAGCTTACGAGCGGATATGGGGTTTGTAGAATAAGTGTAGCCACTTGACTTGATCTTAAATACAGATATATCCACTCCACGGCAATTTTCGAAGGCCCTGTGACGTGCATCTGCCGTTCCCACCTCAAACTTGGCATTTTCCCTGTGGCGTGTTGCGCTAATCCTCATGCGTCTGACACCTAAAGTTGAATATATAAATCTGATACTATGGCTGCCTCAAGGGAAAACCAAACCTTACCTATATACATTACCACCTATTCATTGCCCAAAAAGGTATTTGATGTCTGCAAGGGGGGCGTCACCCGCAGGAAACATCTCATGATTTGAGGAGGAAGGCAAGGCAATCGACCAGATTCTTAGTCCAGAGGAAGAGAACGTGGTTACTAGTAAGACCCGATCAAATATATTAGTAGGTATGTCTTAACATGGAAGATATACGCTAACAAGAACAAGCTGTGTTCAAGTTATAGAGGGACTCCCATAACTTCTGCATTACTTTGTTGCGGACTTCTAGCTCGTTGGTGGCTAGCGGGAATAGATACCGATACTGGTTCTACTCCGGGTGGGAATACCCACATGAAGCAAAAATAATGGGGGCTAATATAGGTGATGGGTTATTGTACTCAGGTATGAGCAACCGGTTTGCTTGTACTGCATCTACGCAGTAGCCCCCATCACCCCAACGCCCATCCCCCAAAGGGACTAAAGTCGTACATGTGCAGTCGCCCGCTTGAAAAATCACCCTTCGCGCTCGCGAATTATATTTCCTTCTATTTTCATCTCCACAAGGGTTTCATTCCTCTTATTTCGATTTCGGGCCCCCCATATCTTCCTTCGCGTCAGGCCTATTCCAACTCTCGTTCTCTAGCTTTCCAACGATTCCCTCAATCATGGAAATTTGCTGTGTAACCCTCTGCTTCTCCTTCTCCTGTTCCTCCCACGTACGGAGGAAGGCGTCCATCATGAAGGGGATAATAGCCGTCTTCCTCCCTTGGAGATAGTCGTAAACAACGATGTCCTCTACGCACCTCGCGGCCGGTCTCTGGTGTAATTCGGATAGAATCATGACGTCGAGGACGAAATGTGAGTCGGTTGGACTAGGCAAGCTGCGTAGCTTGTGGAAGACGGAAATGTGGTCCGGCCAGGTCATCGGCTGGAGCTATCATCAGAACATGCGTTCATGATTTAAAGGGGACCTCGAGAAGAAAGCACATACGAATTTGTAATCCGTCCTGATGCTCCTCAAAATGAGCCCATTTCCTCTTGGTGTCCATAGCTCGCACCATTCGTTTTTATGTTCCGGATCAGCATGGAGGGCATAGTTATAGGCCCAGTTGATGCGCGCACTCTCGGCCCATCGGACGTAGGTAACATTGTTAACGTGCGACTACATCAGCGACCAGAGTTAGCATTTATACACATCTGCAATTTCGAGCATGTAGAACAATCGAATTCTGGGAAACAAACCATACTATCCTGCTCCCCCCACACGACCTGCTGTCTTAACATCCCCGCTCTCTTCTTGTCAACCAGAAAACCCTCCCGCCCAGCAACAAGATCCCTCCAGTCCTCGCCCAAGGATCGGAGCACCCCGCCGGCCACGCGCGTCTGCTCGCTGTTTAGTCCAAATATGATGCATTTGCCTATTCTGGCTTTCATATCACTCAGCCATCTGGGGCTGGGTATCGCTGGGGCCGGAGCTTCTGTAGCTTCCACGCCTCGTTGTAATTGGGAGGTGATGTCGGTGCTATAGCTAGAGCGGGGGTTTTGGAAGACGGTTGAGCAGAAGCGTCGGGGGGGGACAATGCAGGGTTTGGAAGCTCCTGAAAGTATGGGAGATACTTTGGGGAGTCGAACTTTCATTTCGGGCGGTTGGATCAAGAGAGCAGAGGCCAATTGCCACCAGGAACCGAATTATTGAGAGGGCACGAAGGCGTTGTACTTGAAGCTTCCCCGCCAAAACCACAACCGCGGTTGATGTCCGATGACGGCACGGTCCGGACAAGCAGGGTTGGTGGAACCTCCACCGGGAGCAAACTACATTTTGGAAGACTGGTCAGATTTCGCACGTTTTGCAAGTCTAGACTAATACCACTTGTAGGACTTCCGAGAATTACTATCACAATCGCAATTACGGAGTGAAGCTTTAACCCCGTCAGATCTGCCCTGCAATAATAGCGCTTGCAGCCGCCACACTTCCTGGCATCATCGGCTTTATTTGCACCATTGCCATTACGACGCTCATCATACCACAACTAGGACGCGTCTCCTCCGCCATCTCAATCCCAATTCCAATCGAGCTGCGAAGGTATCTCGAGTCTTTTCATCACCACAGCAATGGTCCCGTCACCGGCAAGCCAAAGTCTTCGGCATAGGGTAATAGCTATCTACAAAGGTATTCATTTCCTGCTTCTCCCTCGTTTCCAGACATCACCTAGTTGCCCTGCACAATTATTATAAGGCTTCGCATGGAACATGATTTAATGCTACTTTGCAGAACTATTATATCTAGGCCGTGAATATCCCCTAGGTTACGAGTATTTTCGGCCACGGCTGCACAAAGCTTTCATGAGCAATGCCGGGTTGCAGGACGAGGCTGAGATCCAGCGGGGCCTAGAGCGAGCTGAGTTCGTCAAGAAAGGTATTTTTGCGTCCGCAACTCATCTATGCAAGGTGTGTAAGATATGACTGACATCTGGGTGTGGGAACCTTTAGAAATTGAAGCATTGTAAGTAAAGCTACTTAAATTTCATATCACAGAGGCTGGTATTGTAGCAGAAGGTCAATGGTGCATGACTTTGGTATTATATATCCACATGTTGGGTGGTTGGAAACATGCAATGCTATGAGCTGCTGCTGATGAGATACATGTAGGTACTATCTAAAAAGATATCGAACGCTTCGCCAGCGATATAATAAGTCCTAACCCACCAAGCTCGATACGCGAAACCTACACCCATGTACAAATGCATTCTGTATTTGAGCCAATGGAACCCTAAGCAAGTCAGGCGCATCTGAGGCGCCAATATTAATCCACGAACACGCGGATAAATAAAGTGCCCATCATTATTGGGCACCAGGCGAAAATCGTCCAATGTTCCGTGAGTAGCCAACATCACATGTAGGGCCTCAAGTCGGCGGCTTCTTCTTCCGCGCCCACCACGCGCCCACCTCCAAGCACTCTCCCCAGGACGTGCCATTGTTCTTGAGCAAATCATTCATCATATTCCCCTGCCAGCGATCCCACTCGTCCTGGCCCTTCCCACTGATATCCCTGAGTATTGGCTCCAGGCTCTCAATCATCTGGACAACGGTCAGAAGGGCTGTTTTACGAAGGGCTAGTTGGCCGGCAGTCAACGTCTTCCGCTCGACGTCTCTCGATTTGCCTTTGGAGATTGACAGCCCGTTTGTGCCTTGGGTGACGGCGCCACCAACTCCTTCTCGCTCCCATCGCAGTTCGCCCAGTGGGATTGCCAAACGGCGGTTATCTATGTCGACCAACTCCTCGGATTCCTGGAGGAGCAGAGGTCGCATTGTCGTGCAGGGCATTGGGGTTAGATTCCTTGCCTCGAGCGCTTTAGTTATCCATCCATTATATTCTATCAGATACTGGTTCTGCGGCGTCGCCAAGGGAGTTTGTGGCGTTAATGTGTATGTACCCATAGCATTCGTGTGTACTTGTTCCTCGTCATCGTTGTTTTCGGCTTCATCATTCGTAGAGGGTGGCGCGTGCGGTAACAGCATTCGTAACGAATGGTCGCTATCCCAAATCTCCAACGTGCCACCGGGCTTCAGAATCCGCAAATACTCGTCCATCAGCGCCTGCTGCATTCCGGTTGTCGACGTGGCCATGCTTATATCCTTCGCCATGATTAAATGAAACTCGCCATCTCGGAAGGGCAGCGGGACCCGGCGTAGATCATGCTGCAAAAACCTCCAATTCATATCATCCTCTGAAGCCATTCCCGGCGATACAGGTGCGATATCAATCCCCGTGAATGATATTGAAGAGAAGCCCCGTTGTGAGAAATGTCGATGGCACATCACGCTCCAAAACCCCGTTCCACATCCAACCTCCAACACGCGTTTGGGGGGCTTGTCGTTGAAAGCAGGTGAGCAAAGAGGCCCATTGAAAACCTGACATAGCAGCATGGTCCGCAGCGTTTGTCGGTGAAGTTCGGTCAGATCGCAGGGAAGCGGGTAAGGTAAGCCATTGTCCTGGAGATATTGTCTTCCATTCCGCGTGGTGAACGGTTTCACGGAGACCTCGCTCGGGGGGAAGTCGCTGGTTGTAATTTGTGTTAGAGCGCTGGATGCCGTTGTACTGGATATGCTACTCGACCGGCCAGCGGCATCTCCCCGGGCTGCTGCCGCAGCCTGTGATTCTACCGAATGGCCATGCTTACTTCGAGAGCTGCCACCGGTGGATGATGATTTGCGATTTGCCTGGGCGATTGCTTGGGACTGGGCGCGGGTTCTCGTGGACTGGTTTGCGGCGTGTTTATAATCAGGTAAAGGCGTTGCGGATGCGAGAAACATGCGATCGTGGACTCTTTTCGTCACGCGGACGGAAAGCTAATGTTGTCGTCTGGGACTGGGTGCGAGAGGGCGGAATTGGTTGGAGGACGAGGAATAGGACGAGGAAACGGAAGAGGAATCGAAATTGGAAATGGAACTGAAAGTAAATTGTAATTAGAACCCAGGGGTTGGTTATGAGTGGCGGCGGTCAAGGAAAGTGTACGTTACATGTGAATCTGACTGGACACCGGTACTCAAGTACGAGTGCTTGGGAGTGCGGTTGGGTGGCGCGGACGGCGTTGGCAAAGGGGTAGAGCTTGGAGATATAAAGATGTCTGTTGGTGGGAGGGTGTTGGATGGAGGGAGTTGGAGTGGAGGTGTTGGAGTTTAATAAGGAGAAACCGGCGCCTGGGGCTGTACTGTTGCCCGTGGTTCTGGGTCTGGTTCTGGTTCCAGTTCTGGTTCGAGTTCTAGTTCAACGGGTTGGGTTGGGTTGGGTTGTTGGCTGGTTGTGATATGCGTACCAGTACGAAGTACTACGTACTATGCCGTAAGGAGGGCGCTATGTATACTATGGACTGTGCACTTCATACTTCATGCTTCGTACGTAGTATGTAGTACGTAGTAGCGCTACTGGACTCTGTATCTCCTTGACGACGTCTCCCGGCGCATTTGGGGCCCAGGCTGCTAGGCGGTGGATGCGCTGTGGCCTATTCCTGAGCTCCGGGCCCAGGCTAATCACACCATGCAACTGTACTGTCCATGTGGGAACCTGGGAGTCGGAATATGGAGAATCACCTTGTGCTATAGATTGATAGTCTATACAAAGTAGAGCAAAGCAGTATACGGAGTAGAGTACAAAGTAGTACTACCTACTTCGTACAACTGGAGTCGTTCATGGCATTAGCCACCCCCCTACTTCGTATGAAGACTTCGTACAGTTTCTAGCATCGGAATCGCAGCGAGTCGTCATAGGCTCTCTCGCTCTATCGCCCCCCACAAAGTGGCCAAAGATATGAAGTCCTTCGTATTGAACGAGGCACCCAACTTCCCTTCCCAAGAGACACCTCAGAGTCGAATTTACGGACTACAATAGATTGGTAACCATAAAACATTTACTGGTCAGCCGCCAACCATACAGTATCCACAGTTCATGATGCCCGTTTGCCCGGAGCGACTCGCTCGCCCTGACTCTTGAGACGTAATACTTCGTACGTATCACAACGCCAGTTGTGAAGCCAGGTCGTCCATAGACCAGTGACTAATAATAGCAACCTCATGCTTCTCCGAATGCCTTTATCCGAGGTCGTGTGCGGGTGTCACTCGTGAACACTAGTTAACACCGGTCTTATCATAACATTATATCAGTTAAGTGTATGACGAGGTTTTGCGGTTTCCGAGGTCGCAGAAGTCTCAATTATCCGCTTCTGCCTCAAGCTTTCAGAGATAGGCACACGTCCTATTTTACAGCCTGTTGAAGGCCCTTGGCTAGTACTCATACCAGTTATTAGGGAGGTATAGTAGTATTTGCTTCTGACGTTGCAAATCGACATGAAGCTAAAGAGGGATCCTACGAAGTCTCACGAAGTGGCATGAAGGCATAGGTGCAGTTTTAGCCACGAGTACGTCTTACATAACAACCGTAGGATAACTTTGACAGGCATTTCCATGGCACGACGAACTCTCGGTGCAACGGCTTCTTGCAGGTTTGATCGAGGCTTCTGATGCTTTGCCCAAGGACTTGTTCCTGTGCCCCTGTCTCGTTGCGGCGGTTGGCCGCAGCGGTAACCAGCTTGATGGGTTCGCAGAGTTCGATAAAGCAACCCGGCTAGGTTCTAATTCGATGCGTTGGACCTGAAACAAATGCTTGTGTTGAGTGTGTTCGTCGCCGTCGATTATGGCCACGACTCAACATAAAACAGCCCCAGTACGGGAGCGTAGTGTGTAGCCGCTCATACCTATCAACCGTTCGCTCTCGACCAGCTACTTACCAGCTACCGAAGCCAAATATTCCCAGTATTAGTAGGAGAAAATATTAGTCTAATAAAGTAAATGTTTGAAGACTGGCTTCGCTTAACAAATTGCGAGGAGAACGGATATTGGAGCCTCAGGCTTGTAAGGCTCCAAATCGCGGTGGTCACGTGCATATACTTTCGCGCTAGCACCTCGCGCTCAAGGTCCTGGAGAACCTCATGTGCTGTGGTTCAACAGAAAGGCAGCCCGACGACAACCCAACCTGCTCCAACGAATACTCCCTAGATACTGAGCACAGCGACTGATGGTCTCGAGCACTAGGTACGCCGCCTTAATCCAATGCCAATAGGCCTATCCTCCTGGTCACTCGAGCTCACATCTCAGCACAACCACTAGCTTTGCCCTACGATTCTAGAGTCACTCGTCTTGAACAGATCTTCTTGCCTCCAGAACGCTCACAACCATCCGAAGTGCGCCAACCAAGTCCTGCCACTCAATTGTGGCCACGTTGAAGCGTATATTCGTCGCCCCCGGGACGACTCCTGGGCCGAACAACCCTCCCACTGCGCCAGAGCTTCTGGGGCTCACCGGTGAATACTCAATCGTTGTAGATGCCCATACGATATATACAGCAGACCTATGCGCCAACGAGGAAGAATCCGAATTCCGCTCCGCAGCTCACCTACTTAAACATCGAGAAAGCCCGCCCATACTCCGCCTTCTACCCCTGCGCTCAACTATCTGCGCCCACGCCACTCCTTGATTCGTCTGCGGAGGAATTAGATGGCCGATGGGTACAGATACCCGCAGCAGAGCGCTGGAAATTACTATTATCAACAACATTCACAGAGTCACCATTCGCGGCACCAGATAACTCGGAACGGGACCCCTCCCAATAACCTCCGATCGACCTTTACCACTGAAACCCCATCCCCTTCCCGCTCCCCAGATTCCCATTCCCCTGCTCAAACTCTATACGGAATGTTTAATCAGGGACACCAACAAGGGCAACATGGCCGTGTCAACGGAGGGCCTGGGCGAGGGCTGCCACTGATGTACAACTTTCAACACCAAAATGCACATCAGACCCAGCATACGCAGCACCACGCGAACATTCAGCAAGATCATACTACACATACTACGAATGGATCGGTGCTTAACCACCATACGAACTACCCCTCGGGGGTGTTATCGAACTCGACACCTAGCTTCACACCAAACAATCTTCAAAACGGGACACACTCAACAACACGTGGAGGGCAGGCGCAGCAGATTAGTGAGCACTGGACAGAACAACTGAAGTTGCATAAAGAATCCGAGAATGCCAATTTACAGATGGTGGATCACAGCGCGCCGAATCACTTTGCAAGACAGAGGGCCACCGAAAATCGAGGATTGGCATCGGCATCGACCGCTGACTCGTCGGCTACACAAGAAGAGGACAATGAAAATCGTGGACGGCCATACCGTCAAGATATTGTGAAACGGCAGGATTGGCATAACCTAGACTTAAGCGGCCAAGGGCTTCGAGTACTTGCGAACCCGCTGTTCAATTACGATTTCTTGAATGAGCTTTACATCGCGTCAAATAAAATCCCCCAAATACCTGCTTCTGTCGGACAACTACGAGCGTTGACTCATCTCGATGCTTCCTTCAACTCCTTGAAAGAATTACCACGGGAGCTTGGCATGTGTGTTCGTCTCAAATCTCTTCTGGTCTTTAACAACTCGATTCAATCCTTACCGAACGAATTGGGTGCTCTACACCAGTTGGAAATGCTGGGAATTGAAGGCAATCCTATTCCACCTGGAGTGAAACAGGAAATCATGGAAAGGGGCACGAAGTCACTCATCCGGCAGCTCAGAGAAGACACGCCAGGTAAGAACCCCCCTTCTATTATGTTTCGTGGCTTACACATGCAGTGCCGATGCCTCCGCCTCCGCGGAAAATGATATCCCTCCAAGACGGCATTCCACCCCCAACTCAGGAAAGGCTCCGAGTGTCCACATATAACATCCTCTGCGATAAAGCTTGCACCCAGGCGTTATACGGCTACAACCCATCAATTGTTCTATCATGGGAGTACCGAAGGGAGCAGATTTTAAATGAGATTCAGGAGCAAGATGCCGATATCGTCTGTCTACAGGAAGTTGATTCCGAGACTCACTACGAGTATCTAAGCCCAAAGCTTGCGTACCGCGACTACAAAGGTGTTCACTGGCCAAGACCTCGGTCGAAGACCATGCCTGAGAAAGAGGCCAAGCTTGTGGACGGCTGTGCGACCTTTTACAAGGGCAGCAAGTTCATCCTCCTGGACAAAGTACTCATAGATATTGCGAATATTGCCATTAACCGACCAGATATGAAGAATCAGCACGATATCTTCAATCGTGTGATGCCCCGGGACAATATCGCCATCATGACCTTCTTAGAAAACCGAATCACTGGGTCGAGGGTAATCGTCGTCAATACCCATCTCCATTGGGATCCTACGTACGCAGATGTGAAGTTGATTCAGATGGCTATCCTAATAGAAAATATCAACAAAATAGCCGGAAAATTTGCTCAACGGCCACCAAGTACCGAAAAGGAAAAGAAGGCTGGTTTAGTTGATGAAAATGGCAGTCCAGATCCCAAACTCGGTCAAGAGTTTGCACCATCCTTAGAATATTCGAGCAATACGCAAGTTCCATTGATCCTCTGTGGCGATCTCAATTCCGTCCCCGACTCTAGCGTCTACGACTTGCTGTCGAAGGGAAGCATCAAACCATCACACCAGGAACTCACAAACTTCCAGTACGGCAATTTCACCAAGAATGGCATCGATCATCCATTTTCGTTGCGCTCGGCATATAGCGCTCTTGATAAGACGCCTGACCGATTAGTATTCACCAACTATACGCCCACCTTCAGGGATGTCATTGACCATATCTGGTATTCGACCAATACCCTGGAGCTTACAGGTCTACTTGGGGGTGTTGATTCCGAGTACATGAAGACGGTACCTGGATTCCCCAATCACCATTTCCCAAGTGATCATTTACCGCTTGTTGCCGAATTCATGGTCAAGGGGCGGAAGGAGAAGAAGACCCATCCAGAACCAGATTTTGGTTCTTCCAGCCGTAGGAGGGATTAGGTCCTGCTTTTGGAGGACCAAATGGCTTCTGATATCTAGGCTGGCTACACGTTGATTTTCTTCTCTCGCTCTGGTTGTGTATCATGGCGATCGGATGGTGTTTGGTTTCTGCGGGGACCAAAGGCGAGGCTGCATGGAGGATCCTAATCTGAAAACCTAAGCGCGGATTGAAATCGAACACTTGTTTGATAGCTTTGTGGATGCGGCAGAGGACGACGAAAGCGGGTTTGCACTGGTCCTTGTCGTGGTGTTTTGATAGGGCGGCGTTGAGTTCTCCTTTAGTGTCATTGGTTGGTTGGTGGAATTGGTTCGTACAAGCATATGGCGGAAAGATACTAGCATTCCATCGATAGATAGAATGCACTGTTTTCATCGCTGTGTTGTTGTGCTGCCGTGTCTGACTATTTATTGACTAATTGTTGTATATGTATAATCGAAGCATTATCGGTTCTGTACACACCACCTTTCTAGGTTACCTGTGGAAATCTCACGTTTATAAAACAAAACGCCTCGTCTATTACAACCCATTTGCTCATCCTCGTATATTTCGATGCGCTTTTCACTCCATCTTTACAGCGGCTTTTTAAGCCAGCTCATTAGATATACTACAGTTGATTCCGCCCAGTTTCCTTAAGAACTAAGTAGTCTTGCGCATATTATGTCACATGTCAAATCTACCTAGGTATATATCCATTATCCCAGCCCTCCGTCTTATATACACAGGTCGTTTATTTATTATAGGGGAGGCATTTCTTATCCTAACCTACTTATATATATGTGCATGCCCATCTATAGCTTGTGTATTACCTATCTCGTACCCAAGGTTCTAGATCTGCCATGTCTTATACCTGTCTGTTTGATTCAGCTGGACAGGCTGCCAGCTAAGCACTCCTAGGCCAGACCATCTCTAGAACATGAAGATCATGTGTTACATGTCAAACCTTATATTAAGGGCTATTCCTTTTAGGTGCCTAGGGGATTTGGTACCTCCGCAGGTATCTTCATTTCATGCAGATTCTAGGAGCTCGAAAGCTGGTCTGACTCGCCGATAGCCAAACGGAACGCCTCCTTTCCGCTGGTCCGGGTTGGGCGATGTTTAATCTGCAGATTCCCCGAAACCCGGAGAAGTTAACAGCCCGATTTAAGTTTTGTGGCGGAAGGGTATCTGTGGGACTCCGCTATATGGGCGAATACCATATTCGAGTCTCTCGAGTAGTACGCCCCGCGGAGGCCTCGATGGTCGAACAATATAAAACAAGGTGTTTCTGGTTCCTGCGCGATGGCGGAAGCTGATCCCGGCCGCAGAGAATCTGGCGCTAGCAAAGCTGTTTTGGCCGCGATCTCCAGGCGTTGCAACGGATTGGGATCGGACCGTTTGGCCTCGGGCTGGAGTTGTGGCTTTAAGGTTCAGCTACGAAGCACAAGTGCGTGTGCTACAGAGCTGCTACAGAACAAAGGAGCTCTGCTATTGGGCGTCCCGAGCACAAAGACAACCTGACTCCCGATGCCGAGTGTTTGCAAACGGCTTGACTCTTGACGGAGCCTCTTAACTATTGACTTTGCCTATCAGATGGTTCAGGAAAAGCCAAACCTTCCGTTAGTCTAGCTCCAGGTTGGCTAGGCACAAGTGACAGCTATCGATATGGCATATCCGTATCAAACCCGCATGCGTTTGTGCCATTCCAACGAACTGCGCTACCTACCTAGCTACCTACCAAGCTACCTACCAAGCTCGTTCTTGTACTATACTATACTTCGCACCGCAATGCAGTTCAAATTATTGAAGGCTCTGTGCAGAGTACGAAGCACTATCGCTACTATCGCTATGTAGGTACTATCGCACTCCGCTAGCCCAAGGCCCAAGACGGCCAACTCCGAGTCGCCCCTCGGCCCCTTGCACTGCCTGCGACATGCCCATCATTACCTCATGATACATGGCGCGTGTCCTCCATTAGGCAGCGATCGCCGGCCATGTCGGGGGCCGCGTACATAGCAGCGTCGTAGCTAGGTGAGCTTGGGTGAGCTGCGCGGCTGCTGCGCAAGATTCCGCTGTGCTGATCGGGCGCTGTCGGGGATCATCCAGGTCGCTCAGATCGAAACTGAAAAGCATATCTCGGGCAATAATACTAATCAACTAATCAATCTCGAAGCCTGGCCCAGCGTCGTTCTTCCTTGAAAAAGAGTCTCGACCCCACGAAACGAACGGCACGCTGCGGTGTTGTGCTACTCAGGCCATACATAGTCCCATACTTCGTGCTTTCGTGCTTCGTACCGTACTCTACCAGGATATATACTTCTAGGCCAGACATAAAAGTCACGCCCTCCCTCCACTTCCTCTACAACCCAAGGCTTCTTCTCCCTGCAGAATTGCAGAACGTCTTCGTCGTCCTCAACACGACAATCCACAGCAGAAACCACCACGCGAAGAAGGCAAGGCAAGGCAAGGCATACTGTACCAAGCCGCAAGCAAGCATCCTCGAGTGGCTGGTGGCAGACAAACAACCAAACAAACAAACAAACGCAGCAACACCAAGGCTTAAATCAAGCGCCATCTCGTCTCATTTTTACCTCTTGAGTTGAGCATCCCCTCGGGGTACTCGTGGTATACGACTTATTCCTCTACACGATGGCTTCTCGTTTTTACGAGCTCCAAACCGACGCGGCATACTCTCATTCAACCTCCCGTTCCTCGTCTCCCCGTCCACAACCACAGGCCACACCAGCATATTCCCAGCGGTCGTCTACATCATCCGCCTCCTCCGGGGCCTCTTCGAGCTCGTCTTCCTACCAGAATGACCCGTATAATCCCAGCTATTCCGCGGCTTCCGCGTCCCAACAATCCGCTCCTCGTGTCGAGACTCTCCGCTGCTCCCGGTGTGCGACATGTGTCGAGGCGGTAGTCTCGAGGAAGGCCGCTGGCGAGCCGAGGAAAGTCAGCTCCGAAGATGCCACGGCTAGCGGGATGGTGAGGTTTGGCCATAACTTATACTACTGCGAGCGCTGCGCCGAGATGGTAGGATATAAATGAAGAGCGGGTCCCGACGAGGATTCAAAACACACAACACTGGCAAATACACGGAAGAATTACTACGTAACAACGCGACGAAATCACGGATAGCGATAGGGAACGGTAGCGGCCTCGAGGCTTGGGACGAGACGACGGTGCGCCGCATTTCAACTTTGCGGTAATTACGAGGATGGGGATTTTCGATGCCGACGTTCCCTGCAGTGGGAATTGGAGGATTGACAAGGAGCCAACGTGAAACCCCCGTCGAGTCAGCTGCTCATGGGTTACGAGTTCTTCGCGATCCTTGGTATCGCACCACCTCCGGTAGAATAATAACGGCATATGTTCACAACCCTATGAATCCGGCCTACAATCGCATGTGGCTACAAACCCATCTCCCTTATCTGCAGACGTCCTCTCGCGAACCACTCGCAGTCCGCCACATTTTAAGCTGATAGGACGTCAATCTGCGATTATTGGCTCGATCTGGGCATAGGCGCAGAAAGCAGTCAATGCTACCTTGTATCATATCAGGATTAACATTACCCGTTTTCGTGCGGTGTCACTGTCCCACGCAGCCCGTACCTCGTACTGACGACGCCCGCTGTGCGCACGACCTAGCCCATTTGGCTTCAGTTGCGTCATAGGGCTTAAGCGGTATTTTTGGCTGCAGGGTGCTACTACATTATTACTTTGCGGTCCACGGCGACCGCTGGGGATTGTTGGCCGTGCCTTGGTCTGGACTGCAGAACGGCCCCCAATCCCACAGTACCTCTTTACCCTGCCCAGAATCGTGAGATACTACTACGTACCTACGTAGTAACTCATGAAGGGTTGGGGCCGGGCAACGCAATCACCATGTTTGGTGACGCTATCTTTTCTCATTTTCTTGTTTATTATTTCAGTTAGTGAGCGCTTGGGCGTCGGAGTTCTATGGGGTAATCTGTATATATGCTCCTCTCGAGATGATCCAACCCTCTCGAGAGTTGTAGCTTGTTTTATTTTATGTTGTATATATGTTTTTATACCTAAATATCTCGACGCAGTGTATATTATAGACAAGATTCTCCTTTGGGATGGGATCAACAGCCTGCATCTTGCTTTATTTTCCCATCAAACAAGTTTTTAAACAATAGGCAGGATTCCTAAAATAGCATTTCGCATTCAAATACTACACAACCATTTGCACCGCCCCGTCTCGTACATATTTTCCCAATCAATATCCTGCACTTGGAAGTTTTATTTTTTGCAAGAGCATCTTATAATAGTCCGTCGGCGATTCTTGCTAGATATGGATAATTTTAATTAATGTTCGATTCAGGTCGCTGGGGGCCAGAAATAATATCTCCATAGCCTTCTGGACTGGAAATGCACGGAGTCAGGTGACTTTCGCATCTATTCGCTTTCACGGCTAGCTATTTATCTCTCTCCTCTTCATTCACCTCTACTAGCGTCGTTCTATATTTCGCTATTCTGATTTCATTGTTTTAATTTCGCTATTCTGATTTCGCTATTCTGATTTCGCTATTCTAATTTCGCTATTTCTAATTTCGCCGTTCTGATGTCTCCGTTCTAATGTCTCCGTTCTAATGTCTCCGTTCTAATTTCGCGGTGATGATATGTACGGCGGAAGATTCCGGCATGTAATATGCTAAATCAACAAGAGCACCGATGTCTCTGATTCTCTATTGTCAATTGGGTCGGCTTTATCGAAGACCACTAACCATTGTCCCCGCTGCCAAGAAATTAACTCCTAGCAGAGTATCTCCTTATCAACAGATATCTGCACGTTAGCAAGGGCTTTAATATGCTATTTAGATCGAGGGATGGCCTTTGTGACTTTTTGTCCTATCTAGAATCTAGCTACGGAAGTTCGCTTTATATTCGCACCTACGGTTTAGCATAGTCGAACACTTTCATACCATGCTCCCCGCTCACTGGTCGTATCATCAGTAATCCTATTATGCAGTTGCTTTCTTACCCGGCCTTGGCTAGTCACATAATTCTAGTCTAGAATGCACGTCTGAACTGGACCTGCGTCACATTCCGGGCCGAGGGATGCGTGAGGATAATCCCCCACGGAGCCCGCAGCGGCTGTGAGAGTCGAGTCTGAATTGCATTGAACGAAAGCCCTTAGACCGACCGGAGGAAATCGTTACGGATAGCCCTTTACGGAATCTAGAATATTATGTTTAGTATTTACTATCTCCACTGTTCTACAATTTTATAGATGTGGTGTCAGACATATCTAGACTCTAGTTGATAAGTACATGCTAGGGTGGAACTTACCCGGTTTCTTTTAATAGTCGGAATTTCAGAAAGCAGTATATATTTCCGCAGCGATGATAACATGGGCCAACAGACTCAAGGTGCAGGGTCACTCCGAGTCTTTGTGTCAGGCATAGTAAATTGTCCTCCCCTAGTGGTACCTAAATAATGTGCTCAAATAATACTACTGTAAAAGTGAAACCGACCATAATTTTATATAATATTTTACTAGCGTATATACAGGGCAATCCTATGACTTTATCCTATAAGCCTAGAGCAGCGTTTTCTTTTGATGGTTCGCTTCTGACATTTAAGTTGCAACTTGTAAGTTGTTACCTTTAACCGGGGCGTAACACTGCAAATATACTATTAGCAGCTATCTAGTCTAGCCAAACCGGAATAACTTTAATTCGCCTTGCTACAGCGAGGTATAAATAGCATTAATTTGGCAACGTCGAGGTAGGATGATGCGATATTAGGGAAGAATAGTGTTATACTTTAAAATGGCAGGCATACTACGGCGCTATGACTTGGGTGTTAATTATGCTACGGAAAGATTCATCTCTGCCCGATTATTAGAAAGAAAAGCCCAACATTATGATACACACTTGTATATTCGTAAGTGACCTAGTCGATAGAGTTGCAATCAAGCTAGGTAATTCTGGATGTGTTAGCGGACATGAGTTAAGGAGTCGTCAGCCGAAGAGTAGCATTGCTCAGCCAGGCTTGGCATACACAAGGCCTATATGCACCCCGCAGTGCCCGCACACAGGTTGAGTACCGGAATTAAGTCTATGGTCTCTGAGTATCACTTGTTAGCCCATATACTTGCTCTCTGTTGTGGTGACTTCGCTGGTTTATCACTTCATAATTCCAAGTTCCCAAGAAGCTCTGAATGCGCCCTTTGCCACGAGACTTAAGAGTCTATAACAGCTCATAGTAGGCATACTGCGGCCGGCATACACAATCACGTTTACAGCCCGGACTGTCGCCCCGGCTGGTTTAATAGCAGTTGCATCAAGTAAACATTAGATGTCGACATATTGTTGTAAAGCCGCGATTTGAGGGCTGCCAAGCTTGAATTAGCCACTGGCAAAATCTGTGGACCTCCTTCATGTTCCCGGAGACCCATCCACGCCGCCATGTGTCTCCCAAAGTCGGGCTCTCAAAACCCCCTCATTATTAGCGCGTAGCCCGGCCCCAGCGAAGAGAAATTCCTCCATCGGGTAGTTGGTGAGCATGGCGAGGACTTGAGAATGTGCCCATACTCCGTAGAACCGTCGAACGGTTCCTCACACCATACGGGAGTGAAGACGGCAATGCTCGTACCCCAGTGCCCGGCCCTTGGCGCCTAGGTGTTCTCGGACTCCTAGCTAAAGAGAGCGTTGCGAGCAACGGGCCTGCTGATCTAGTTTATGTTATTAGCCCATGGTGCTGTGCAAGTAAGAAGAGGTGGGGGCTCGCGTGGCCCGGGACTCACCCTTTCACCCTTTCACCCTTCGCCTCCCTTCACCACCCTTCTTCTCCCATTTGTTTGAGCTGGTCGTCCTGGAACTGGCGGCCAGCAAGTGGCAGTGGTACGCGGCTGATGTTAACAGGGCTGATATTAGCATTACAAGCGGTCCAACCCGCTTACGATCCCGATAAACGCGCCAAGCGCCAAGGCTTCTCCAGGTTAGTGGCTTGCAGCTGCATGATTGGCTATCAATGCTTATATTGTGAATAACCGGTCAACGACGATCAAACAGCTCCAATGTTATGCTTGCTGAGAACCACTTTTCGGCAATGAACCGCCGGCTCAATTCTAACTCATCTCTGCCATCAAAAAGTCTCGTCATGTCCCCCTTATTCTCGGGATGCGGGAAGGCGAGATCGTGGCTGGATCGAGGAAATCGTGGCTGAATCGCAGAATCCCGTCAAACCCCGTCGATATCCCCACAGCTTGGCGGCTTTGTCTTGCTCGGGAGAATGGGTTTCTTCCTATCATGAGATTCAGTGTTAGTTGCCAAGAACGTGCGTTTAACCACCTCAATTCTACCAAGAATTAAACACCCGGGTAAAACAGAATTACGCTCCATCAATCAGACTAGGTCTTATTATACCATTTAAGAACTAATAATCTCAAAGCCTCATGTTTGCCGGCCAAAAAGTATAAAAGCAAGGCGTCTCGCTCACCATAGAGAACATCCACAACCATCAACCGTCAACCCATCTATCATCATCATGGTTTCCTTCTCCTCCCTCCTTTTGGCGTGCTCTGCCGCCGCTGGTGTCCTCGCCGCCCCTAGCGAGCTTGTTGCACGCGGTGGAACTCCCAGCTCCACTGGCACCCACAACGGCTTCTATTATTCCTTCTGGACTGACAACGCCGGCCAAGTCACCTATACCAACGGAAACGCCGGCTCATACAGCGTCCAGTGGTCTGGAAACAACGGCAACTTTGTTGGTGGAAAGGGATGGAACCCCGGTGGACCTAAGTAAGACCAGCCCTAAATACCATGATTCATCTTAGGTCATTTTCACCTAGATAAGCTCAATAAAACTTACCTGCTTCTAGGACTATCAACTACTCCGGTACCTATAACCCCAACGGCAACAGCTACCTCGCCGTCTACGGTTGGACCCAAAACCCTCTTGTTGAGTACTATATCGTCGAGAACTTCGGTACCTACAACCCATCCAGTGGCGGCCAGAAGAAGGGTTCCGTCACCGCCGATGGTTCCGTATATGACATCTACGTGAGCACCCGTACCAACCAACCTTCCATCGAGGGTACCAGCACCTTCCAGCAGTACTGGTCTGTCCGTCAAAACAAGCGCTCCGGTGGATCAGTCAACACGGCTACCCACTTTGACGCATGGGCCAAGGTCGGATTGAACTTGGGCAAACACAACTACATGATTGTCGCCACCGAGGGTTACTTCAGCAGCGGATCTTCCAGCATCACCGTTTCTTAAGTAGTAGTTAAGACGGCAACGTAAGCCTTACATCCCCAAACACTTTATTTGTGAGCTTTTGTATTAAATTTTGCTTTAATAGTGCGAGTACTTTGGAAAGTACGGCCAATGTGGTGGATAAGGCTACAGCACATCCACTCACCTGTCGTTATATACGGGTGCTCCGGCAACCATTTTCTGAGTGTATATATTTACCTAGGTATATAAGAAAAATTGAACTGGCTTGACTGTTCAGAACGGTTGGTTGAATACCTTATATCCGTTATTACTTTTCTATTTCTGCCGCGGCCTGGCTTGTGCAGCACTCGGCCAACCTTGTAATTTCATCGAATTTGACGCCATTGAGTGATGGAATTGTAGTATCTTAAAGCATATGGATAATAAACCACTATCTTGCAGCCCGTTCATATTTCTGTTTGTTCCCCTTAGAGAAAAGATCTAGAGGCTCTATTCATATATGTTCAATAAACCATGAATCATGTAAGCGAAGCACCAAGCACCTCCGTTTGCGTACAAGCCTAACTTTGGTATTCTGGAACACGGCCAGCATTTCAGGGGTTAGTTCGATGTCAAAACAAAGCTTAACGAAGTCTTACATAAGCGACTCTGGGATAGGGGTTATTATATTGTAAAGCCACCGCCTCCCACTATCACTTGCTACCTACCCACCTAGTATGTAAAGTAGTAGAATTTTATTCATTAATATAAACACTGCCTAATAGCACCTTCAAAAAGCTCCTTGTTTACATAATGTATTCCGACCCTGACATCTATTCCTTGATTTTATTACACGCCAATAAGACAGTCTGCTCATTCCGTGACAAAGTATTTTGTACTGTACGGAGATACACTCGCGACCCCTTCCGGCCCCTTAACCAAGCTGATATCAAAGCAGATCTCCAGCACCAACAAGTCTTTGAACCTGTAATTCTATCATGGCATTCACAGCACCGACTAGAGCCCCCTTAGCAAACACGCACTGTGGGGTTTGCTCCAGCACGCAAAACCTCCTCCGCTGTACTGGCTGCAAAGTAATGCACTACTGTAGTCGTGAGCACCAAGTTGCCCACCGCCACGATCACAAAGCTGGTTGCAAAGGAGTAGCAAAGGCCACCCGGCGAGCCGACCACGAGGAAGAGAAACTGCGCAACTTACCGCCTAATATGTTCGTCCCGCCAGATGTCTTCGAGAACCAGGTCGGCTCCTTCTGGGGCATACTCGAAACCCGTGACTATATGCGTGCACGGTTTGCGATTGTGAAAGAGCTGGAGGAGACTCAGACGAGGAGCTCGGTACAGTCGCAACTGGATGTTATTATGGATTTATTGAGGCTTAATCGGAGTGATAATATGGGAGCAAGGGACATGGTACCGGCACTGATGTTGAGGTTGGGCAAGGATCAAGAGTGTTATGATTTTCTCAAGTGGTGGTGCACGACTGCAGATGAAGCCGACTACGACTGGGGAGATATGAGTGAACCCTATATGGATATACGAAATGCAGATGTCTTCGAGGGCGTTGAACATCAATGCCAAAGGTATGCCAGCCTCTCTCATACTGTTGCGGCCACGCTGCTCAAGATCAAGATATTGCTGAACTTTCAGTCATTAAGGGCTTCTTATGCACTGGGCGAAACAGTGGCACCTGAGATCGTTCACTCTATCCAAGCTCATGTCCCCCGCAGCCCCACCGTGGCAGCGAATATGAAGATCATAGGACATAGGGACCGTATAGAAGAGCTTGATCAGAGGCTGAAGGTACAGGTAAAGAAGGTGTACAAGGCGGCTGACAATTTGAATGAATACTTTTGGCCTCATCTTCTCAATCCCGGTCACCACTTGACGGCTTTGCCTGAGGCTTATTCGCCGGGCAGCATGGAGGAGATGGAACTGGCCTTGAAATACTCTTATAATTCATGGGTCGAGATTCCAGGCGCTATTGATATGATCAAGACCATTCGGGCGGCGATCCCGAAATCCTGATCACTGGTATAGATGTGTTAGGCATTGTGGGATGATTGACTTAGCAAACTTCAATTATAATTATCCAGCAATGGTGACATACCACCTCAAATGACACTCGAAAATTTAATACGTGAACACTCCTCGTCCTGTTTTCACGTCTATATTAGACCATACCTAAACTACTTTTCGTGCCTTTAGCCCTTTGACTACGTAGTAGCAGCATCTAGATTACTAAATTCGTAGGCAATGCCTGCCTTTGCAATCCCGGAAGAGGAAGTTGATGCCGCCCACTTTTTGAGCTAAGCTCAAGAAGTATTTATACATAAGGCCTATGGCTTGTCTCAATCAAACCATCAGTATATACAATACAGCCTCGCGATAGACAACAACGGCAATACACTAATACGCAGGACAACAAACTTTAACAAATATGTAAGATTAAGGTAATCTACTTTCCCAAACCCTCCATAGGTTTTGAGCTCACCGCCTATAAGGAGTGCCTCTTTTTTTTTGTCTCCGGAAAGAAGGCACCCGCACGGTTTATGAGAAATGTAGTTAGTTTTCGGGAATTTGCTAACAATTACACGTATTGAAATATTGAGACTTTCCAGTGCTCTTGTAATTCAGTGGTTAAATACCCCTCTTATGTCTCTTCGTGAAAATCGAAAAGGGGGCACAGGCCGTGGATTCAGTCCTCACCTAGAGCAAATACTTTGGCTATTTTAGTTTGAATTTATTTAGGGATCGAAGTGTACTAAATTACATGGCAGCGAGGCTGTGCCTGTGCGTGGCCTCGAGTCTTTTTTCCGAAACTTGGTCAATCATCTTAGACTGCTGGCACCTCCTTCCTATTGCATGTTCCTGGAACAATCCTCCCTCTCTTTCTCCCCTTTCCACGGCCCCTTCTCTCCAAGCACGACCACAATCAAATAAAAAGGTCCAAATTGAAATTCTTCGGGGAATCGAGTAACAGAAGGAAAATTTGAGTCGTTATTCATGAAAGCAGCAAGGAAAATAAGCTTGCAAACAATTTGATTTAGACAATATATGTTCAACCACACGCTTTAGGTGCCTTGCCCTAACGGATGGCGAACGTCATGTATGTAATATTCAACGAAAGGCCAGGTGATCTACCAGGAGATGTATCGCTCAACCAACCAACCAACCGCAACTCCAAATACACCAGCGCATGAGTCCGGAAATACACAAAAGAAACAACGAATGTGCTTGCAGAATTTACATGACGAGACAACATCCACAACCCCCTTTCTTCGTCGCATCTTCAGGTGGTTCCTGCATTTTCATGGGCGGTGGTCTCGGACTCTGAGGTGGCTTTTCCGTGAGCTTCGGCATTGTCGAGTAGCTCTCTGTCCGCCCAGCTGTTCCGGGTCTTCCTGTACTCAGCGTTGGGCTTTTTAATGGCCAATCTGTCGATTTCTCTTCCGGTTTCGGTTCCACCACAATTGTTTGGGTTATGATTTCTGGTTGGGGGAACTCTTCATCATTAAGTGGCCGGAACGAAGTATCATAAGTATTTCCGAACTTGCCCTCCTTTTCCCACTGTTCCTGCTTTAATCGCTTGGCAACGGTTGGGAGCATTTGTTCGTCTGGTGGGAGTCTAGGGTCCGGTTTGTACATCGATGCGAGCCATGGTGGATCGCCTTCCGGTCGCTTCTGTGACAAATCCCCGGAACGAGTCGGTGGTCGTTGGCCTGCGGATGCATCCCGGCTTGGCCCTGATCTGGTCTTGGGTCTCTGGCCTGCTGAGGCTGCCCTTGATGCCACTGAGCCTTTCTGAGGGGCAGCCTTTTTTGTAGGGGAGCTGTCGGATGCCAAACGTTTAGCAGGGGTGGGGGTTGCAGTGACATCTTCTGTAACATCGTCAAATGCCTTGACACTGTGACTTCGACCGCGAGATTTGGGATTTGATATTGCATCGTCTTCTACCATCAATCCGCTGCTTAGTCTCCTTCTTAGCGGGGTGTCACGTTCCAGATGCTCCACAGGTATTGGAAGAGGACTAGACTTCAGAACAGGTATCCTCGAAACGCCCTTCACCCCCCCGCTGACATCGCGGTATCCATTAAAGTCCTGGGCTACCTCTTCTGGCAGGCGGAAGTCCCAATCATTTGACTCCGGAATTTCCTGCTCTAACGAGGCAATCGTTCCCGTCCGCTGTCGCTTTTGATCACCCTGTTCGCTTCTAAAACCGTTGCTGTGTTGATCCCGACTGTGCTCGCGGCGGCTTGACTTGCTGGCTGCCCGCACCCGTGGAAGAATAATCCCCGCAGCTTGTAGCTCCTCGTTCTCGATTCGTGCAAGCTTGTCTCTGTGGATCCACCTCGAACGATCGGGATCCTCATCAAGGTCGTGAGGTTCCCCGGCTTTCCGCTCCCCATAGTCTATGCTGCTTATCCCGCTCCTATTCGGCCCATAAAGATCTAGTAAGCTGTCCGGCGCGCTGCCTGTGTCGCTAATACTGCTATCCTTTCGACCCAGAGCATTTATGCGGGCCGGCGCAAGGAGGCTATTTGCGTGTCCGTTCGTATGCGACAAGGGCGGTTTATTGGGGTCATTCGTTGTCGGATGTGGGGGATTCTAATGAAGGGGATTAGAACGGATCAGGGAATGCAATATTGCAAAATCGACTTACCTCTATCTGTCCGGGCACAGAATAGTCCCACGAGTCCTGGCCATCATTGGGGCTTGCGAGAGGTGTAAAGGAATTGGGGGCATGCGGTGCAGAGACCGCAGCCATTATATTCTGCCTTAGAGGCCTCGAGAGCTAAGCCGGTGATATCGCGGCTAAGGCGATATTGGCAGGGAGGGTGATGGTTGGACTGCTCCCGAAGGAAAATCGGCGGCGGGGATTAATGTATTTGAGGGTGAGTTTGCTCGTGTTAGAGGATCCACAGAATAATCAATCCCGTACTCGCGCGGAATAACGAGGCCTATGGGAGGGCAGATATTGCGATCTCTTATTTATGCCTTAACAAGCCTAGGTATGATCATGTCCGCCAAAAACAACAAATCGATACGTGAATGGCGTCGTTGTAACTCGGTGAAGTGTCTGGCCGTGGTGCTGCAGCTGCGTCTCGACTATTATATAGTACCAGATCGCTGAAGAGGCAATTGATCGTGGATGGGTCACAGGTGCTTTTTGAGGGTTTGACTTCTCGACGGATGTGCGGGCTGAAGTCAAAGAGCGCAGGGCGCGGTGTTGATGTCTTGTTGCCGTTGCTTTGTTCCTGTCGTGACGTTAAAGGGGAGCTTTGGGGTTTTGCTGGAAGCCATAATATTGCTGTACTGGCTTAGCGCCCGCGACGACAGCCCAGGGGTGGCTGGAATCCGCCCAGAAACGGGCTTTCCGCCGGCAAGTATCTACTCCGTAGAACGATAGGACAGTCCAACGGTCTCAGGATGACCACAACAACAACGACAACACGACGAGAAGATTCGCTAACAATCTGCTATACGATGCCCAGTATTTACGTTCTCCGTTGAAAAATGGTGCCGTCTTAGAACCGTGAATGTTGACCTTGCAACTCAACTCTCAATGCTATTTTTCACAACCACCTTTACCGGCTCATGTAGTGCGCTGCCCTACAATGATCTCTGACTCCTTCAAACGCAAAAATGACGGGCCTACGCTCTACCACACGCAAGGTCCGCATCGTCTGTATCTCTGATACTCACAATGCCGCTCCTGGCGGGCCTTTTAAGCTTCCCAAAGGCGATGTCCTCATCCATGCAGGAGACATGACGAACCAAGGCTCATTTGCCGAATTGGAGCGTACTGTTAGATGGATCGAGGAGGCAGATTTCCAAGCTAAGATTGTTGTCGCTGGTATGTTCTGGTCGTCCTGTATTAATACATATGGATTAACTTTGCTAGGTAACCACGACATAACTCTCGATACCAACTTCTACGCCCGGCACGGCGAATCCTTCCATAATCAGCGCCCCCAAGACCCAGTGGAATGCCAGGGGTTACTCGAGAATTCGCCCTCTATTCTCTGGTTGAAGCATGAAGCAGCTACCGTCAGCCTAGCATTCCCCGATGGGCTAGGTGTGAGGTTCAAAATATTTGGCTCGCCGTTCTCTCCTGTAGATGGAATGTGGGCGTTTGGGTATGAGTCAGATGAAGCGTCTAAAACATGGGATCAAATCCCGCTCGATTCGGATATCGTCATAACTCACACACCCCCAATGCACCATCTTGATGAGAAGAAGGATATACCAGCAGCTGGGTGCGAAGCTCTGAGAACTGCTCTATGGAGGGTTAGGCCGCGACTAGCAGTTTGTGGCCATGTCCATTCCGGCAGAGGCGCTAAGCGTATTTGTTGGGACCTTGGAGACTCGAATATTAAATACAAAGAGGCTAGCGCTGAGTGTTGGACGGACCCCGGTTTCAATAACAAGAAGATGTCTCTGGTCGATCTCTCTGCAAAAGGTGGATCCCCAGTTCAGAATGATGGTTCTAAAGGAGACGGGAATAGTTGCGGTAAAGGGAGCGGTTTGAGCAACTTCGGCCCTATGGTTCCACTACCTGCAGACACCAGAGGTCAAGGGGGAGTTCCACCTTCGGCCCTTTGCGATCTGGAAGCATTGTCTGGCCGAATGGGTCGACAAGAAACTTGCATCGTCAATGCTGCCATCACGGCCACCCTTTGGGCCAACCGCTCAGGCGGCAAAAAATTCAATAAGCCGATTGTAGTTGATATCGACTTGCCTACTTGGGAGGAATAAATTCTTTAGCTCATTTTTTGACAGCCATGTTACTTTAAGGCTTACCTAAATCTATACGTTCATATTGGATAGATTAGAGTTAGAACATAACAAGGTAGTGCTGTTAGTGTATCTTGTTTGTCATAGATGTAGTGTTTGTTCACTTGACAATAGGAACTGAGCTATATAAATACGCAAGTGCTACAATTAATTTGGAAACTTTCCCTAGTGTATTGTGGTTCTGACCAGCGCGAGCCAGATGTTAGAGATTCACCGTAGCTCGTAGTCGCAGAGGTACAAGAAGCGTGCCGCTGAGCTCGCCCGGTCGAGCTTATAGCTCGAACCCGACCTAACTGGAACTAGACTTTTTGGAACCTCCTCGGTCCATTAACGTTATACTTGCTAGCATACATTCAATAGCCCATAGAAGTAACCTTACTATCAACGAATAGCCTAGCTGTCAAGTGAAAGCCAGCTGTCAATTCATAAATTGACAGCAGGTTTATACATAAGGTAATTATTCCCCAGTCACTTAAGATACATCATCACCCGCAACTATTCCTGCTCGTCGGTCATACCAGAGTCCTGTACGAGCTGGGCCGCATCGACTTAGGGGGGTTATGAATTCTCTTATCCGGCCAGTCTTTGTAACGGTGGCCTAGCTAGAGGCAGTTGTAGCATCTAAAAGCTGCGTTGCACTCTGCGCGCTGGTGGCCGAGGGCCTCGCACTTTGTGTATCGGAAAATGTCAGGTACCTCGGTGTTATAAACGTCTCCTATGTCCATTACTACGATCATGAAATTGAGGTATTGCTTCAATGGTGCACTTTCTTTTTCTAATACCTAACTCCATATTTCCAAGACACCCTTAATCCTTACTGCTCTGGTGTTTTGCCCCATCATTATTTCATAAATGACTTCTCTGATGTGAAAGGAACGTTTTCCTACTGGAGATTGTAGCGGCCATTTCCGGTATTTTTGTCAAGTTGTCCGAGAATAGAGCTCACAATGATGGAATCTCGACCTCTTACCCGTCATATCCAAGAAACTTGGACTACACAAAACCCACAATAAGGGGGTGTAAGTAGGGACGGTTTCTCCATTTTATACCAAGTTTCTTTGGAGAGCTTGATGAATCGTTTTGAGATCTCAATGTTGATTATCACTTTACTCTGAACATCTTGACGTTGGTGAATCGCCGAGTCGGGGGAACAATTTAGTCCAGATCAACCACCAAGTTCACCAATTGCGACTAGTTTGTCCGATTCACGAGAAATATGGCCGCTGCCATTCTTCCTCTCAAGTCCGCAATGGGAAGATATATACGGCACATTGCCATTATGGTTTGAGTGCATTATACAAATAAGATGACAACGGAACCATTTACCATGAAATATAGGCATCGCTATCTGTTATGATTACACGCCTGCTGAATCCCGCACTTACCTATTTTCTTCTGGGAAAAAGCTGATATCTCATACATACTACTACTAACCTACCCTTACGCAAGGTACGGGCAGGTAGGTGCCCTAGTTGCTTCCGAGCCTCGTAAGGCTATCCAGGGCAGCTGATGCCAGCCCAATATGCCCAGCCTCGTTCGCAAGAGGGATATAAACGAGGTAAGGCTATGGATCCGCGGGACGAGTCGAGAAGGAAAATCCGAAATCAATTAGAGGTACGAGCAGGCGTGTTCCATTCCGAGCTGGTTTTGGTGGTGTAGACTGTTAGGGAGGTATTGCGGCTGGATGCAAGTTACGCCCTGCGTGTTATCTGCCCCGTATTCTCAGTCAGCCTTGCTCCATCCCGAGGACCTGCTGAAGAACCGACCAAGTTAGCAAATATGCGAGGTGGCTGAGCAATTCGTGGATTGTATTTATTGGATTTTTGATTTTTGGGAAGTAGGCTGAAGTCAATGCAAGCATACCTAGTTACCAACGCTTCCACAGGATGGGACAAAGCAGGAGCGTGGAGGGTCTTCGGGGTGGGATACTGTAGGCAAACGAAGGGGTTTGTTTAAGTCTCATGTACTCAGCATTCGTCTCGCTGCCTGGTTGACTACCCACTAATCTTGTAGTTAAAATTATGCATAGAGAGGTCACTTGCGTTTGAAGGCATTGAGATATGGTAGATATAGAATATGTGATATAGAAGTGACGGCAGCAGAATACAGGAATCGACGATTGTGGGGCAGGCAGAGATCGAGGATGGGGAATTGCAATCGTCGAAGAGAAGCTGTATTGTTTATTTGTTTGTTTGTTTACTGACTTTAGAAACGCGGGCGTGGAGCGGTGGATCGAGGTTGAATTTGAGGGGCCGAGAGCGGGAAAGGCCGCCTTGATGGTCGCAGCCTGCGGCCGTCCGTTGAGCCTCCTGCGTGGGATACTACGTATATTGTACGTACTACAATAGTAAACACCACATAAGACGGCCGCTGTTGTGCTGTGGTTTTGACGGTGGGTCGACATAAGGATGGCTGAATGCGGTTAAGTTGATGGCCTATGTTTACCTCTTCTGTGATGGTTGAACTCTACGAAGTAGGTCCGATGTACGATACACGAAGTACGGAGGTGGTATTGGAGGGGCATTGAGCGGGATTAATGCTTAAGAAAGTGGGATCCAAGTCTCTGGAATCCCACTCTGATTCTGGGGGCGGGCCGGTAGAATGCTGTACATTGACCTTAATCCAATAGGGGGATAAGTGTGTCAGGGAGCTCGCCGTATCTCTGTGTCGGACGTGAAGTACATAGCACGTACAGTAGCACGTAGTATGGTAATAGTACGAACCTGAGTGAAACAGCTCCACAGCCATGCATCTGGTTAGATCCTGGAGGAGCGCCAGAGTGGATGTGGAGGAAGGAAATGGCGGGGTAATTGGGTGGCTACGTAGCATGTATTGGTTATTGATGTATGTATATCGATCTACTTTCGGCGGGGTTGGTTCGTGGTTAGTAGTTAGGCTTTCCCGTCGGTTCTGTGCGCCAGTGCAGTCCTTAGTATTCAATATTATTCCTCGAGACTAGTGCCCGTCAGTGGGTTTCGATTCGATCGATTCGCGCGGTTTGTATTCGTACTGGGAGGTTCGGTTCTCCGTTCAGATCAATAGTTGAAAGGCGGGTAGCACGAGAATAGATAGATTGGTAGCGCTGTAGTCTACACCAGCACCGGCATCAGGAACACAACAGCCAGACAAACCCCACGGTGCCAGGGGCCGCAGCAGCGACTTCACCGCTAAAAGAGACGCAGAGCCCTGAAACGTGTTGTTGCTGCGGTGTGTCCAAAATGTCCATGCTGGGCAGCTGGGAAACGATTGGCCCAGGCACACCTGCAGGCGCTGGTGGCCATTCGGATGACTTGGTGGTGGTGGCGATGGGGGTGGTGATGGGCAATGGGCATGCTATTACCCCAGACCAACGTCTCTCTCTTGCAGAGTACGTACTCCGGACGCAGGAGTATCTGGTGAGACTCGAGGTTGTGCCCAGGTTGATGTGTGCCTGCGGAACCAGATCCCGATGGCCGTTTGTGCGGGCGGTTAGAGCGTCAGTCGTGTGGAGGGTGTGCTGACTGCAGAGCGGAAAGGGGTACTGGTACATATTTATTCTTATATCTCGTGGTATGTAGACCGGTGCCGGGCGTGATACCTCAAGTGCTGAGGGTACTCGCTCGCATCGCTCCATACTTGTATAGATGTGAATGGTCCGGTCCTTGGCCTGTCTCATGCACCTCAAGGCCCTTATTCCCACTTCGTACTGGCCGCTTTTCACCAATAGACTCGCTGGTCAAGGGAAACTCTGGTTAAAGTAAGAGGAATGGATGTGATGAGGCGCCGTAACACCCTATTGTGATCTCGATCTGTGTGAACTTCATCTGGCACCCGTTACCATTCATTCCTGGCTGGTTTCGGGAAATCACCCGTAGATGGAATTCGAATGCCCAGGTGCCGTGAGTGAGTTTGCAGTTGTTCCTGTTACCGTTTCTTCGGTGCCTGGCGCTCCACCTCGGACGTTTGTTCAGCTCTTACATGTACTTCGGAGGCATACTTCTCACGCTTGAGCTTGCGGTGAGGCTTTCTCGAGACCAACGTTGAAATCGCATCCACGCCCAAAGTGCTGCTCCGTGCTCACGGGCGACGTTGCGGTGGTTGAACAATATTCAATATTCAATATCCCTCTGTCAGTCGAGTTGCTTCAGATTTCGCCCTGCTTGTTCGGCTGGCTGGGTGGTCTTGGTCGTGGTCTTCCCCACGTTGCAGTTACTAGTTAGTTACTCCGTATGAAGTACAGTCGCATTCGCTGCGTTGCAGCAGCTCAGGAGATCCCAAGGCTGCTGCTGGGCTGAGGGCGAGGACCTGACCATAATTGCGGACCACCATTCAGTCCACTGGCCACTATTGACCCTCTGGAGCAGTTGAGAGCTTCCCTTTCACCGCCTCGTCTGGTTGTCTGGCCATCGGCAGCTCGAGGAGGTTCCGCCTGGCCGCCAGACCCGCCTGCCACGCTCTATCGGATGTCGAGTTCGTGTCCGCGGCTGGCACGTTCAGGCACGTTCAGGCAGGTTCTTTGCGGTTCTTCTGCTTCTGCTTCTGCTTCTGCGTCTGCCTCTTCTTCCCCTGTCTCTTATACACATCTAGATGTGTATAAGAGACAGCTATCGGATGTCGAGTTCGTGTCCGCGGCTGGCACGTTCAGGCACGTTCAGGCAGGTTCTTTGCGGTTCTTCTGCTTCTGCTTCTGCTTCTGCGTCTGCCTCTTCTTCCCCGTTCTATCATTTACTACGGGCGCGAGAGCAATAGGGAAGCCCGAAGGCGGCGCCGAAGGCGAGCCTCGGACGGTTTGTACGTAGAGGGTTTGGCGCGAGCTGACGAAGCTGCTGCGGCCACCTTGGACGTCAATCACCGTAATCAGTACAGTAGCACGAAGTCCTGTACCTGTACTTTGTAGTCTCTCGCCCAGCGACTGAGCAGCCCCCGTGACGCCCCGTCCAGCGCCCCTTTAGTGTCCAGAGTGCCCCATTTGATGCCCATTTATTGCCCATTCAGCGCCCATCCAGCGCCCGTCCAGCGCCCGTCCAGCGCCCTCGACCCCCCGACTCCCCACTCCCCGGGGACCGCCCAGGAACGCCCGTATCACCTATCAGCAGCCCCTAATTGCACCCCTAAACCCACCCCCCAAGAACCCCC